ATAAAATCTTTTTCTTTATTTGAAATGAAAATTACCTTTCTCGTAATAACTGTTAGCTTAGGTACAGTTGCTTCAGCGTATGCATAGAGAAGTTTTGCCCCGTGTCTAATTATGCCATTGTATTCTTGATTGGTACCTGGAAGGAACCCTGGAACATCTACGAATGTGATAAGTGGAATATTGAAAGCATCACAGAATCTCACAAATCGCGCTGCTTTAGTGGAGGCGTTGATATCCAAACAACCTGAATACATAAAGTGATGTATAATATATTGACATGTGATGTAGTCTATGTTTTTATAGAACACGTAATAATTTTTCGATTTAACTCCTTAAGGCAATCATACTGAATAAACGTAATAGTTTTGCAAAATTACGTCTCTCGTCTTTTCGGGAGAACTGATATTCAAAGAAATAGGAGCCAATAATTCATCTAGCCAAAACTGCATCTCTTAAGGGTGTGAAAGGACCTTGAGGATTTTATCTGCAATTCTTGTTGATGACGTGCCGGTTTAAATGAAAACGTGCTTTATTGGAAAACTAAATATTGTCAGGATCTACTATGGTTTTCTATACCGTTTAGATCCAACACAGTGGTAAATTCAAATCCAATTTCAAAATACGTCACAAAATGGTTATTGACATTCAAAATTCATTAAATCTCGTAGGATTGTACGGTTTCCTTACTTTAATCAGCAGGTCATTGGATAGTTTTCCGTTGTCTTTTCGAAGTTTCTAATCAGACGGGTTTGCCTGAAACGTTTGAGGAGAAACATGGTGTCCTAATGGATCAAAAATTAATTGGCCTATTAAATTATCGAGCTAAATATCTAGTTAAGAGAAGTACCAATTCAAAAATAACCTTTGTAATAGTGATTTGACTTTCACTATGAGTTCCTTTGAAGATCGATAGATCATAGAAACCCCTATTTTTGAACCAGAATTAGAAAAGAGCATAAAATTTTACATTCGGATGGGTGTTTGAGTTACTTTACTTGGTACGTTCAGAGATTATTTCAATGACAAAACTCTAAAGGATATTAAATAATTAGCCAAAAACTTTCAATGGAGACCTGAATTTAATGGCAGGACGACCCAAAGTATCAGTGTTGTTCTCCATAAAAATTTATTCTTTCCTGATTATCCAATGTTATTTAATATTTTATCGTTAAAATAGCCTCTAAATAAACAATTATACACGCCTTTTAAATTCGGGACCAACAATTAATATTCAGGAGGTTCTATTTAAAAAAGTCGATTTAAATTTCAACTAATCTTGAAGGTTACGGTCAAAGTCAAATTGTTGCTTACTATCCAATTTCCACCTCCGAACTCAACAACTTTTGTAGAAGTTGTTTTTGGATTAGTGACTTCCCAGACGAGATATTCAGATGCGTAATTTAAAATGGGATGGACGGAAGCGACCTGTGCATTGTTCAATAGAAATGACTTCAAGTACCTAATCACCAAAGTGCAAGCGGCAGATCGGAGCCTCATTCGGGTTTAAGCTCCGCTCTCATATGCTTCTTGGCATCTGTTGTATCTAATATGCATGATTGCTGCTGGAACGTATGTTCAGCCCATGATAAGTCTTCCACGAAAGAAATGCAATAAACGGTTGATGAAAAAACTGATTTGCTTTCATGGAGTCAATGTGGAGAAAATTAAATGGTAATTCTAAGTTACGTACTAAAAAGCTAAACAAATTTTATGGCTAAATCTAGGAAACAAGTATGGCCAGAAAATAAGACAATGTAGATCGAGAAGAAACAGAACCGGCGATATTAATTGATTATCTAAAATGGATCTACATTGAATTGGGCAAGATAAAGGAATGAGGTGAAGCAAGCATACGAATCAGAATACATGATAAAGTTCAATTTCTTAATGGTACCTACATAAATTTGAGTTTCTTTCAATAGAATAAAAAAAAAAGATAAAACCTGTTACCTGTAGAATAATAAAGCTAACAAATTTCCTGGTGAAGTCAGCTCTTTAATTAAAATCCCAAAATTACTTACGAATAAGTGGGCATAGTAAGAAAATGAGTG